ACACTTTTGAAAAGACTGTAATCATAGGCTTATACAATTATACAACTAGAAGGAGCCTATAAGGCCTACAAGTCTTAACCTTGTTCAATGCAAGAATTAAAGTTCATCTGACAGATGGCTGTCTAACTTTCTCTCAAATATATCAACACTCCCAAGGTAATTGATCACATCATTGTACAGTACAGTGGTGCCTCGCTTAACGGGCGCCCCGTTTAATGAGGAAACCGCATAGAAATGAAGTTTTTGCGATTGCAAAAGCGATCGCATTGCAATGTTCCCTATAGGGAAAAATTGCTTTGCGATGATCGGTTCGCTGTTTTGCTTACCGATCATCGCATAGTGATGATTTTCCAACAGCTGATCGGCAGTTCCGAAAGGGCCGCCGGGTAAAAAAAATGGCCACCCGCTGTGTTTAGGGATGGATTCCTCGCTTACCAGGCAGCGAAAATGGCCGCCGTATGGAGGATCTTTGCTTTAAGGTGAGTTTTTCGCCCACAGGAACGCATTGAAGGGGTTTCAATGCATTCCTATGGGCTTTTAAAAATCGCATAGCGACGAAATCGCTTTGCAGCGATTTTTGCTGCAAGAATTAACGTCGCTATGTGAGACACCACTGTACTTCTCTAACAGTTAGGAGGTTTTTCCTGCTGCTTTTAGAATGGCAGAATGGTTTCCTATAAGAAAAGAGTTCAGACAAGGAGACGTTTTATCCACTTATCTGTTTGATCTGTACACAGAATATATAATATAGAAATTCAGACAAGATTCAGATGAAGAAGCAATGAAAACCGGGGATAGAAGCATTAATTATTTAAGATATGTTGATGACACCATCTTACTGGTAGAAAGCAGTAATGACTTGAAATGACCTTCAGTGAAAGTGAAAGAAGAAAGCACCAAAGTAGGACTGCAGTTTAACATTAAGACAAAAATCTTGACTAAGGAAGAACTGCACAACTTTAATGTTGACAATGAAAAAGCTGAACTAGTGAAAGATTTTGTATACCTTGGTTCAATCATCAATCCAAATGGAGACTTCAGCCAAGTGAAAAGATGTGTCAAGGCAAATCAAGATCAAGATCACCCACACTCTTACATTCCTGATCACCATGCAGAAGTGTGAAAACTGGACAGTGAATAAAGCTGACAGAAAAAAAATTGTTTGTTTGAAATATGATGGTGATGGAGAGCTTTGTGGATTCTCCGGACTGCCAGAAAAACAAGTGTGTCCTAGATCAATTAAACCTGAAGTATTTGTGGAGGCAAAAATGATGATACTGAGGCTGTTCTGCTTTGGGGACACCATGAGAAGCCCAGATTCTCTGGAAAAGACTACTGTGAAAGGTGGAAGGCATCAGGAAAAGAGGAAGACCAAGTATGAGATGGATTGACTCCTTGAAAGGACCACCGGCTTGAGTTTACACGAGCTGATCAGAGCTGCTGAGGACAGAATATTCTGGAGATTATTCACTCTGCTTTGGGGACACCACGAGAAGCCCAGATTCTCTGGAAAAGACTACTGTGAAAGGTGGAAGGCATCAGGAAAAGAGGAAGACCAAGTATGAGATGGATTGACTCCTTGAAAGGACCACCGGCTTGAGTTTACACGAGCTGATCAGAGCTGGTGAGGACAGAATATTCTGGAGATTATTCATTCATTTTTTGTTGTTGTTTAGTCGCTAAGTTGCATCCGACTCTTCGTGACCCAATGGACCACAGCACGCCAGGCCCTCCTGTCTTCCACTGCCTCCCAGAGTTTGGTCATTCATTCATAGGGTCGCCATAAATTGGAGGTGATTTAACACCAAGTAACAACAACATATTACAGACTCCAAGCAAGATCACATCTACTAACTAAAAATTAGACTTACACAGAAGAAAATAGATAAATTACAACAGTAATGCAACATAATTGTTCTTCAATTGTTGGGAGAATAAATTAATTGCAGATAAGATATGTGCATGTAGGTATTTTCAGTTTTTGTGATATATTTGCCCCTACTGTCTACCAAAAAAATCCAATCTAAAGTTATCCAAAAGCTGTTACACTTTAAAAAATCTTTCACCATCATCATTATCATCTTAGGGTAATGATCATGGCATTGGCACTCTGTTTTAGATATATACTGTATATATATTTGGCCAGTTTGATACACACAATGAGAAAAAGGCTAAAATCAGCAGTCATCCCTTTTCGAAGTTATTAATTTCATTATTTCATTGTCAAAAACTGCAAAACAAGCAAGGATTAATGGCAGCAGGTTGCTATTTAAAACAGGAGATTACAAAAGTCTGCAAAAGAGATAAAGGACTCTTGCTGAGTTTTATGTTATATATGAGTTACCCATATGTACCACTGAGGCTAATTCACTGCTCTGTTTTTACTCACTTGCTAATTTTATCAAGTGTGAGATGTTAGCAATTTCTATGTATGATTTTTAGTGTTATAATCTCCCTTGATAATTTATTTTATCTTTAAAAGGGTTAATATAGATGTAGATTTTATTGTGGCCATTTCTGAACAGTAGGAACCTTAACTTGCTTTGTTTGAAAACATTCCCATAAAACCTCATAAAAATATGAAAACCTTGAGTCTCCAACAGATTTATAGCACAATTATTGTTTTTCATTAAAACACTCCCCCACCCCACCCCTTTGCATGTTAGCATTGCTCTATATTTGGAATATGATACCCAGTTGGCTGTGCTATATAAATGACAAGTAGAAACAGCTCAAGCTTAATTTGTTAGTGTAAGATGCATGCACTTACCAGTTCAGGGGTGCATGTAGCCAAAATTGCTCTGGCTGAAGGACAGGTAATAGGTTTATAATTATTATTTACTAAAAATTTGACTCTGTTCACTCTGCTGTGCATTTTAGTTGAAAAAGTCTTATCCTTTCTAAGACTAGTGACATGGACTACTCAGTTGTTGACTGTTGGAACATTATTTAAACCCTAGCATGCTGTCTGTGGTTTGTGTAACTGGGAAGGATTTTTCTCAGCTGAGGTGACAATTTATCTACCCAGCACTAACCATTTGTCCTTTCCAGCCTTTGAATTCAAAGAGAGCCCTGCCTCTCTGCTGAGTGTTTTCCTCCACTCTCTTTCCACAGCTGGAGGCAGTTGTTTGTTGCTGTTGATCTGTTCAGTTGTTTACTAAGTATGAGTGCTGTAGAGAAAGCAGCATATATGTCTGTCATTACAAATAACTGTAAGTAAAGAAATGTTTTTATTATTTCTGCTACAAATGTTTCAGGATGAGTTAATGAGACTTTAAGTGCTGGTTAATGAGAAAGGAGTGGACTGTGGGAAACTTGTAAATAGAGATGGGGATGAATCACCATTTTGGCGATTCGTCCTGCTTCCTGATCTGTCAAAGTTGACAAAGCACGAAGCTCCTCCACATGAACCAACGAAGCATGAATCGATTTGTCACTTTGTCAGGGTTTTTTTAGACAGCCAGAAGCTGTCTTAAAAAAAAGAAGCTGACCCCCGCACCCCCACAGGCTGCCTCCCTTTCCCCTTCCCCTGTCGCTTCCCTACCTTGGCTGCCGCAGTCTGTGCTGCTGCCACTACTACCACCACCCATGGCAACCTGCACCATGGCAGCCTGTGCAGTCTCCATCCACCGCTGTCCGCTGTTGTGGCCTCCGCAGCTATGGCCTGATGTAAAGGAAACTGGCTGCCCATTGCAAATATGGTGGCTGCAGCTTCTTTTAGGGCAGGGAACCTGCAGCCACCATCTTTGCAAAGGGCAGTCCGGATTCCCTTAAGGGAATTTCCCCAGAAATTCAGGACTCTGCAACATTGACTTCTAAAGTCAAGCAGAGATTCAGACCGGAGGAAAACTCAGTCCACAATCTTATAGAGCCACCACCTAGGCAAAGAATAAGCTCTTTTGTAAATGGTTTTTAATGTCTCTCTTTTTCTCCTTCCTTGTTGCAAAGCCACTGCAATCAGATTTAAGCATTTAGTTGTAGATTTTAGTACTCAGGGGCCAAATCCTTCTGGATGTCTGGATATGTATAAAAGAAATCATGAAAGTTGCTGCAGTTAATGGATAAGGTGCTGGTCATATGGAGCTCTAGTGCCTGATCATGTAGGCAAGCAGATACCCACTGCATACCTGTCACCACATCAATTAGCTACAATTAGCCATGGCAACTTCCACAGTTCATCTTATCCAAAAGAACTGTGGCCAATGACAAACTTTTACTGGAGTACATATTGAACAGTGATTTAAACACACACACACACACACACACACACACACACACATACGTATTTATATTACTTTTGTTGCACAAAGCTATTGTTAAAGACCTGACGTGCATAAACAGAGAGATGTTATTTTGATGGAATTTTATTTATGCCTGTTCACTCAGGGGGATTTGAAAATGAAATGGTGACTTTGAAACAGAGGGGTAAAATCAATAGCCATTAAGTGAATGAAGACATTTTAATATATGGAGCAATGTGAGTTAAGATCCTTTTATCATCAAACCAGCTCATACTCTGGACATTTGTTTTGGTCAATCAAAGAGTCAAAGAAAGACAGGTGTCTCTGTCATTTTACAGTGTCTTACATGAATGCAAAGCCAGAATGATTCATGATCAAAAGAAGCAGTATAATCCTATACATGCTTAGAGATTCAATTAATCCAACTGAACTCCAAGGAAACCCTGGTATAAATGTACACAGTAGTCTGTTACTGTAAAACTGGAAGACTTACCATACAACTACCAGATCTTAGCCAATAGTCCTCGGTTTTGCAGGCGGGCATAAACGCTGTGTGTGTGCTGTGCAGTTCGCACCCTCATACTTGCCTTCCAACCTTCAACTGACTAGTATTCTGCACACACTACTGTCCTTTATATCCTCAAACGGTATTGCAGTGTAATCCTTTAATAATCCCATAATGAAGGCAGATGCTTAAAATGACAGATTAGTGCTATTGTACTTTGTTGGTGCTGAAAGAGGAGACAATGGAATACTTACTGCAAGGAAGATCTGTAGAGAACTGTGAGCTACTTCTATATACTGGTATTCAAGAACACACCCTGAGACAGTGATGTAGCGATGGTCTTGTGGTGCCCAGTCTGGGGCTGGAGTCACAGATGTCACTGTGCAGCCGGGCCCATTCTCCATCCACCAAGATCGGTGCATTGAGATATTGAAGGTCAATATAAGATCTGTTTCCTGACAAAAAGAAACAGAATACAAATCACTCTAAGGTTGGTAGAATTAGGCAAGACAGCAGAACACTTAGTATTGTACCACGCTCAACACTAACATTCAAACTGGAATATGCACTTGGGATACAAGATGTCAGCATTTCAATTGCCACAATCCTTTGAAACAGGCTGACACTTCTATAAAAAGTATAATATGCACGCCATCACAACCACTTCCAGATCTCGACATTTCCCCTCCAGCTTTCCCAGAATGTTTACATATAGACCTATGATTTTCTTAATTCTTTTCTGAAAGCGCTATCCCAAAGTGTTGCGTCTGTCTCCTGCATTTGCATGGACAACAGAGTCTGACAACAGCAGACACATTCAACAGAAAGGCGTACCTAGAAGAAGAGAACCACCACATGTTCTCCATCAGATGCACACAGATACATACAAAGAAAGAAAGAAAAAAACCCCTTCTCTTCTCAGGAATGGTTTTTCAGCACCTAATCTTTACACACAAACACACACACACACACACACACACACACACACACACACACACGTGTGTGTGTGTGTGTGTATATAC